CTCTGCCTGCAGTCCTCCCCTGCCTGGTCCTGTCCCTCATGAGGGGTTCCCAGGAGGGGACTAGGCCAGGTCCCACAATTCTCCATTCTTAAGAACTCTCTCCATGTCTCTTCCCCATCCCCTCCCCAGTGACAAGGCCTCCAGGGGCCTCCACCCTCTGACCCCGTCCCTGTCCTGTACTCCTTACCCCTTCCTCACCAAGCCCCAGACACAGTGGCCTTTTATCTGTTCCTCAGACTATCTGAACTCATTCCCACTTTGGTCCTTCAGACCAGCAGTCTCCACATGACATCTTCCCGTTCTCCACAGGCTGACCCTCCTCATCATCCAGATTTCAGGCCAGGTGTCCTCTCTTCCCTGAGACCTCTCAGGCCTCCCAGTCTAAAGGAGCTGCCTGTTCATTTGCCTACCCCTCTGTTTCAGTGTATTACAACCGGTTATTTTCTTGTCCATCATCTGTCTCTCCCTGCCTTGGTTCACAAGACATTTCAGATCCCAGCCTGGCTTCCCGTGAACTCCATCGTCCCCCCACCCCGACCCCCGGGAGCTAACACACACCCTCAGGGACCCTGCCCTCTCTGCGTTCCCAGCCTCAACCTGGCTTCCTTTCTCCCTGGAGGCCGCTCTTCACCCCACCTCCTGCTACATCAGACACAGAAACAGCTGCCGGCCCCTAACTCCAGTTCATTCCTTCTCCCCTCCGCCAGCCCATCAGGGTTCTCAGTGCCCCGTAACGCAGGGGAAGGCATCACGCGGGGAGGGCAGAGATGAGTCTGCCTTGTTCGATGCTGCGCGGAGGGCCTAGCGCAGGACCTGGCGCCCAGTAGGGTGGATGGACACGTGAAATCCGCCGCATCCACGGCCGCGGGCAGGCTGTCACACGGAGAGTTTCCAGGGAGACCGCTCCCACCCAGAGCTGGCCGGACTGAAGCCCAGAGAGCTGCGGTGGATGGAGGGCGTGCTGGCGGCCGAGAGAGCGGTGGGAGGGCTCCAGCGAGAGCAGCACCCGGCAGGAGCAGGGGCTGCTGCGGGGAAATGACACGCTGTTCTCTCCAGATTGCGCAGGACTGAGGGGGAGGTGAGGAATGAGGCCAAACCACAGAGGGTTGTATAAGCCTGGAGGAGGCAGAGAGCTGGATACTAAAGATAATGGCAGATCATTGAAGAGTCTGGAGTAGGGAGGGAAATGGTCAGATCTGCGTTGGAACTGACAAACCACAGCAGCTGGATGCGTTCTGGGATGACGAGCTCCGTCCTCCATCTAAATCCTTGCGTTCTCCCCCAGATTACCCCGCACTATCCTCCTTCTTGCTCTTAATCGGTACAGGAGGCCAGGGCTTCTGTGGGCATCTTCCCCCCTAATCCCTATAGTAGGTTGAATGGTGCCTCTCCCACCCACCCCCCAAAAGATTTAATCACATTCAAACCCCTGGAACCATGTGAACGTGCCCTTATTTGGAAGAAGGGTCTTTGAGGATGTAATTGAGCTAAGGGGTTTGAGACGAGATCACCCTCGATTACTGAGATGGGCACGAAAGCTGGTGAGAAGTGTCTGTAAAAGAGGCAGAAAAGGAGAAGACCCAGACAGGAGAGGAGCAGCCCCTTTGGCCGGGAGCTGGCGTGAGGCCACCACAAAGCTGGGAAGCCAAGATGCACCAACAGTGCCCAAAGCTGGAGGAGGAGAAGAAAGATTCTCCCCTAGACTCTCCAGAGGGAAAGCCCTGTTGACACCTCAATTTTAGATTTCTGACTTCTGAACCGTGAGAGAACACATATGTGTTGTTTGAAGCCCCCCAGTGTATGGCAATCTGTTACAGCAGCCCTAGGAAATTAATACACTCCATCCTCCAACTAAGACGATTCAGCCTCAGGACCCTTCCTGACAGGTGGACCCTCATAAATCATAAGACTTCCTTTCTGATCTGGAAGGTACGATTGTACCAGCCTTTCAGTGGACCAGCCTTTCAGTGGACCCTCGTCTGTAGTGCTTGGCTCTGAAAGGACATCTTAGCCACACCAAGAAATGAATCATCAGAATGAAGCAGTGGACGAGTCAGTGGAGTTCGGTCAACTCCACTTGGCGCTGCCAAGCGCCAAAAACCCTGAGAAAGAAGCTGGCAGCGCTCTGTGGAGACTAAGGGTTTGGCAAAAGGGGGCAGGACAGTGAGTTGCTCAATGGGGGTGAGCACAGATATGGCAGGAAGGGTCATTGTTCAAATAGGATTTGTAGCTTCAGGTTTCCCAAAGGGGTCTGTGGGGCTCTGGAATGGTCAGTCTGGTCTTTAGGGTGGGCTTCATGGGGCCAACGCTTCATTCGTTAAGCGTTCCTAAACATACCCACCGTGGCCTTCTTCTGCACTGTATCCATCGAAGCACAGTCAACTTCTGCATTTCCAGACATAAGCAGCAGCCAGCCCACCTCTGAAAACACCAGTACTTGACCTGAAGGTCTGCACTGTGCCCACACGTGTGTGTGTGCATGCATGCGTATGTGTATGTGTGTGTGTGTGTGTGTGTGTGTGTGTGTGTCCTCCCTTCCTCCCTGGGGAATCACACCTATCCCTGTAGAAGAGCCAGCTTCCTCTGTTACAAGCTTCTCTTCTGGAGGGCTAAGCAACACTGCAATAACGTCACTATCTCTATGAGTGCCCATTCAGTGTCTTTCTCTCCACTTAGCTATAAACACCCCCCATGACTACCCCTGGCTTACTGTAGGTGTCCCGTGAGAATCTGAATGAAGGGCGCCTGGTTGGCTCAGTTGGTTAAGCAACTGCCTTCAGCTCAGGTCATGACCCTGGAGTCTCGGAATTGAATCCCACACTGGGATCCCTGCTCAATGGGGAGTCCACTTCTCATGCTCTCTCTCTCTCTCAAATAAATAAATTAAAATCTTTAAAAAAAAAAAAAAGAAGAAGAATCTGAATGAAACAGGCCAATTCTCAGGGGCCTCTGAGTTTTCAGAAGGAGAAAGATTTCATCTGGTCATTTCAAACCCTCTGAGAGTGCCAACAGCTCAGGGTTCAGGCTTCATCTTAAGAGAAAGAAATAGAATCAAAGGGAAAAGGTCAAGGGCAAAAATAAAGCCATATGTGGGAGGGGAAGAAGACGTCAATCCTAAACCCAGGGCTGCCAGAGGCCAAAATTTTACAACCCTTCCTCCGTAAGAGGGATCCTTGCCAATTTTTCTTAGGTCTTGGTTAAGATGGCACCCTATACCTCCTTCCTTGTAACCCCAACTCCTCCCCACAACTCTCTTCCTCCTGAAGATTAATTTCTTTCTGAATAGCATTCAGATGGGCTGGACTCTAATGATGTCCAGAATCCCATCAAAGTAGAAAGAGACACGTGGCTCTTCACAAATCCCCCCGCAAAGGGTCACCTTCTTACACGAAAACGAAAAAGCAATTTGGAGAGAAATGTGGTAAATCCATGTTGCGGACTGGTTGCCACCAGATTTCCTCTGCTGAAAAAGTGAAAAACAGTACTCATCTCAAGTGGGAGAACATTTGAGATCATGTGTACACACTCAGTGCCGTGCCCAGTTGCAGTCCCAGTAGTCAGTACCACAGCTGTTGTTAAAATTATTGGGACCAGTCCCTCTAACTTGGAGTGTCATCAATCAATTGCTCTCTTTCCCTGTACCTGCTTCCCTGCTAACCATACACAGGCTGTCCAGCCATCCTCAGTAGCACCAGGGGTGTGGACCAAGCTACCCTTCTGAGATGGGCACCCCAGAAGGAAAGGCAAGGTTATGGTCATTCACTCATTGTTATTAATTAAATATTAGGCCCTTGTGAAGGCTGGGCAAATGTCAGAAGATGCGGCCCAGATCCTTGGCATTAGCTCTCTTGGGGCACTTGCCTCAAGGCACTGTCTTCAGAAGGTCCCTTTGGAATGAATGAAGGTGGAGCAGAGGAGGTGAAGGAAAATATCAAGAAAGGAAAGCATCCTTTGAGTAGAGTACAGAAGTCATTGGCCAGTTAAGAAAGGTTTTGGGTACCCTCAGACTTCTTGTTCTGAGCCCTACCTCTTGCCTTTTCTCTGGAGCTTCATAAAGTAGACCCTGTTTCATGATGCTTGCCTTTTTCTCTAAAAACCTGCTCTAAGGCAATAGCCTTATATATTTGTTTATACTAACATGTAAATTGTTGTTGGGTCTTTATACTTGCTTGTTTTTATAAGGGGAAAAGGATTCAGTGAAAGAAATGAATACATTCAAGTGAGTGGGGGAAGGAAGAGGCCCTTCCTAATGACTCAGAAAGCACACTACCTGCTCCATCCAGAAAGCCAGTGGCTGTGGCAGTGGGGACCAAGCCATTTGGGTTGAGTTGAACTGACCAAACAATTTCTGAGCTCTACGTTCTCTTGCTGGAAGTAGGAAAGTAGGCAGGAGCATGGTGGGGGTTGAGGAAGACAAGGGACAGTAGACAGAGCAGAGGTACACAAAGTAGGGAGGGATTATTCCCCCCAAAAGCACCTCTCTGGGAACGTTGCCAGGGAGGAGTGCAGAGCTCTGTTTCTTCAAAGCATCACTTTTGATGTAATGAAAAGTAAGGGGCTCTGGTGGCTCAGCTCTCTGGAGTACGCTCAGCCTCCTTCCTTGGCCCCTCCTGACTCGTGAGACCCCCCCCCCCCGCAGGTCGTGGCTGGTCTGTTTCTAGAGGAGCTCATCTCCTGAGCCAATGCAGCCAACTTGGATAACTGCCCAGGCCTCCCCATCTGCTTTGTAGCCTAGGACCAAAGCAAAATTATGGACCAGATCATGTTACTGGTGAGAAGTGGGAGGTTAGGGGGAGAATTCTGGTTACCCAGGAGGGTCAGGGCAGAGATGGTAAAAAGGACTGTCAGGGAGTCCCACTTGCCCTCCCCACGAGGTGGCTCCCCCCAGCAGTCCTCTTGGTTTAGGACAGCAGCATGACACAGTGTGAAGGGCTTGGCCTCCAGCTGCCCTAGGAAAGGGGCTCCAAAATAGAAGAAACAGAGATGAATCAGAGCCAGTCCTGGAACACAAACACCAGTATATTTGATGTGCACAAATGTGAAAAGGAAGAGACAGAGAGACCGATGGAGACAGAGCAGGCAATGGGCGCACAAACCAGTCACGTGTCCTGAGGGGCTGCATTGGGAGACAGTCCTGCCCACTTTGAAGTGGGAGAGCTGGGACCTGTAGCTCCTCCGGGTCTGGGGTGGTCTCAGGGTGGAAGGTACCCTCACTGCCTTAGCCATAGCTTGGGGGCCGGGCATCTCTCCTCTCTCCATCCCCCATGATGACATCTGCATGGCCCAGAGCTTCATAAATGCAGGTTCTCAGGAACTGACCTACTCAGCACTGCCTCCCCAAGGAGGAGACCCATGCAGAGAGTGAGGGACTAGGACAAGAGGATTTCATGGGCACTCCCTATATATTATTGCTGTAGATAAGCATAGGCCATTGTGACTTACTGGCAACAGAGGGGACAGGGCACAAGGGACAGGGTGCCTAGCAGACCTCAGAAGCGGTTCAACCATGCAGGGCAGCTCTAAGGCAATAGCCTTATATATGACAATCCGAAGTAACTCAGAAATGCTGCCATGTCCAGTGGAGAGAGACCCAGGACACCAGAGGGTCACAAAGAGTCAGCAGACTCTTCCTGCCAGCACCCCCACTGCTTGGCAGAGCTGGGGTGCCCGGGCACTAAGGGATGAGGGCCCTGAAGATACCCAAGAAAGCAGAGTTGAAGTCTGGGCTACCCCGGGTGAATTCTGAGCCTACCGACCCTGAGCTTAAGCCCTGGATTGTTGCCTCTCTTTGCTGGGGACTCTATGCCCTATGAGGGACAGCAAGAGCCATGAGGCACCTGGATGAAGAAGAAAAACAGCGCTCTGCACATACCAGGTGGGTTTACCACAGGACCTCCTATCCCTGGGAATCTATAGGGCCCAGAGAAAAGATGGTGCCAGGAAATGTCCATGGGGCAGCATCTGGAGTGGCCACACCTGATTGGCCACACAGGGGCTTGCTGTGGCTGAGAATCACTGAGACCCTGTGCCGGCAGACATCAAGAAGCCAACCCCCGATTTGGTCATGGGAGGGGAGGTCAAAGGCGGGTGGTGCGGTCTAGGGGCCCACCTGAGGGGCCTGAAAGGGTATTGGGGTCCAGAAAACTGAGATAGCACAGAGTTACGGGATAGGGCCAAGGAAATAATTCTGCAGATGGGACAGGGAATCCAGATGATGCTTTTCTTCTGGAAACCCTTCCACCGGTAGTTGGAAACCTGAATCCCTGGGTGCCCCAGAGCTCTGGAATTGGGGCCACAGTAAAATCGAAGGTAGGTCTGGCCCCTGGAGAATGTTCACTGCTGGATTTGAGGAGCCTGGCCAGGACACAGAGGCTGAGAGATGCCCTTCATCCTGTGCTGGACAAGGTCAACCGCACAAAACAATCCTATCAAAGGCAGAGTCTCCCAGCCTTTCTCCCAATCCTACCCAGTCCCCCAGCCCCCCAGCCCTGGCTCACACCCTGGCTGGGGCTGTCCGCACAGTCTCGGTGGAGCAGCAGAGTGAGGAAGAGGAGATTCTCTCCACAGGTCGTATTGTCATTTTTTAATGATCCGTAAGAAGGGAAAGGCTAATTTCTATCTAAGAGTCCTCGTGTGGTCAAGACAAGACCATGTACCATAGCATAGGCTGCGTTCTGATGGGCCTCTCCCCTCAGGGAGTGGGGGCAGAGCCAGAAGTGGGCTGGAGTGAGGATTTCACCTGTCCACTGCCAGCAATGGACCCGTCACAGAGGAAGGGGGGCAACCAAGATGACAACGCCTCTGAGCATGGCAGGGTCAATACTGCTTAAGGGGTAAGCTCAAAGGGTCGGTCTTGCCTGGGAGGGGTGGGACGGGGTGGCCCTGAGGAGGTTTTGCTGCAGGGCTGGTGCCATGGCGGGACCAGCTGATCCCTTCCCACTAAGGATGCTCTGAAGACCCTCCCAAAGCACAAAGGCTGTTTCTTTTTCTCTCTCACTCACCCTGCATGGGTCTCCAACCCTGGATGCCTGCTCTGCCATCCCCTAGAGAGCTCTATCAACTCTGATTTGAAAAGAGAAATGCCTTCTCCCCTACCCCCCAACTCCCCTAAACTGATTTGTCTCTAGGTCCCCATTGTGGATCTGGGGGGCGGGGTGCATCTTGGCCTGACTGTGTTGGGGAGGGCATCATTCCATTTCAGCTGGGCCTCTGTGGGGAGGGGGCGCTGCCACAGCCCATCAGACAGGTGGGGAGGTGTAAAAGGATGACTTCCCAGTCTTCAGGCAGCAGACACAATGGAGGGAAGGTCGCTCTCAGGGCTCTGTGTCTGGCAGCTGCTGTGTTAGCCAGGGAGTTGGGGAAGGGGGTGGGTGTGGTGACTGACATGGATAAAGGGGCCGCTAGTGGTAAAGGCCTAGAAAATAAAAGAGAAAAGGGGGAAACACCACCGAACACACAGGGATTGAAACCTCCAAAAGCCCAAGGTTGGTGGGAATCCAGCACCAGGGGGGCCCCCAGAAGGCCAAGGGAGGGGTGGAGCCCTGGGGGAGGGGAGAGGAGCCAAGGGAAGGCCTCCAGCCCTTGCACACCGGTACAGCTGCCAAGCAGCCTCCTGGCTGCCCAGTCTCTCGTCAGGCCGCAGCTCAGCAGGCCCCCGGGGAGGTATTGGTTGCAAGCAAGCACCTGAATATTGCCAAATAGAACCAGCCAAAGCCTACCTAAACCAGGTGAGAGGGAGGAGGCCTGGCAGTAGCCCAACGCCTCCTCAGGCCTTGCCTCCCACCTTCTGCCCCGTTCTCAGAGCCCCTTAGCCAGGACAGGGCCTGCTGCTTCCAAAGTCACCCGGGGGGTTCCAGCCGCTGCTTAGCCACAGGCCTCCTGCCGCCAGCCTCTGAGCTGGGCGCAGAGACCCAGACCCTTCCCAGAGTCCCTCCGCTCCCTCCACACCCGCCCCCCACACCTCACCCGGCCCCCAGAGGAGGGTGCTGGAGAGAGGCCAATGTCGTGTGTGCCCTAGGGGGCTGAGGCAGGCCCCCTGCCAGGGCTTGTGCTGTTCAGAAGATGTAACCCCACCAGCCTGATACCTCTGTCCCCCGCGTCCGTGAGAGCGCCCCGGGCCCCGCCCACCAGCCCCATTCAGTCTGTCTTGACGTGGCCGTTGGCCAGGGCCAGGGGGCCCCCGGGCTCCCCGGGCTCGGCGTCCTTGTCAAACCGGAGGCGGAGGGTGTTGCGGATGATGAATTGCTCCATGATGAGGGCCCCGCAGAACCAGGGCACGGCGTACTCCAGGGTGATGAGGCCCATGAAGTCAAAGTCGAACTGGGAATAGTCCCAGGGGCAGGCGTTGAACTGGCGCAGGATGAGGCCGGTGGTGAACTCCCACAGGTAGGTCCAGAGCGTGTAGATGAGGCAGCGCAGCAGCAGGGGGCAGCGGCCCCGCAGGCGCAGGTACATGCGCTCCACGATGAGGATGGACGTGCCGTAGATGAAGAGCGCCCACACGCTCGTGACCCCCGGGAACTTCCAGTTAAAGTTCACCACGAACTCCCAGGCGGCCGTGAACATCACCTCGCAGAAGTAGCCGTGGATGGCGTACAGGTACCAGCGGGACAGCGCGGTCAGTGGCTCGGCGGACGCCATGGCGCCCAGTGGGGCTGGCTGCTGCGACACAGAGGAGACAGGTGAGGGCGGGAGGGAGCCCCTCCTCCTGGCCACCCACGCCCAGCCCGAGTCTCCGCTGTGACGAGGCTCCAGGCGGTTCCACACCCGCTGCTACCGTTCTCTTTGGTTACCTTCCCACTCCAGACCCTACTTCCTGGTCATTACTTTACGCCCTATTCCTGATCTTGGTCAGGTGGGCGTGAGAAAGGAAGGCAAGAAACTTAAAAGTCCCACTGGCTTCCTCTGACCAACTCTACTCAAATGCTACTTGGAGGTGTCTCCTACACAACCTAGACTTTTTTTTTTTTTTCTTAAATTATCTGTGATCAGATGGAAGAACTGGCTGTCCCGACCCACCAGTCACCTCCATTTCTAGGCTACCAGCTGATTTCTCATCAGGCCCACCCACTGGGGTCACCATCTCCTCCTCCACTTCTCAAACAACTCCACCTCACTCATATTTCTGAGATCTTTCTAAGCAACCTACCACATATGTCCTTGGGTGTGTGTGTGTGTGTGTGTGTGTGTGTGTGTGTGTGTGAACATATACTAACATTTATCATGTTAGCCGTTTTTAAGTGTATAGTTCAGTGGCATTGCGTACCTTCCCACTTTTGTGCAACTGTCTCCACTGTCCATCTCCAAAACTTCTTCATCATCCCAAACTGAAATTCCGTACCCACGGAACACTAACTCCCCACCTCCTCCCCAGCCCCTGGCAACCACCCTTCTACCTTCTGTCTCTATGAATGTGACTACCCCAGTTACCTCTTTCAAGGGGAATCATACGGTACTTGTCCCTTCATGACTGGCTTATTTCACTGAGCATAGTGTCGACAAGGTTCATCCATGTAGTAGCGTGTGTCAGAATATCCTTCACTTTTCAAAGCTGAATAATATTCATTCTTTGTGATCGATTGATCGATCACGTTTGATTTATCCATCTGTCCATTAATGGTTTGTTTCTACCTTTTGGCTATTGTGAACATTGCTGCTATGAACATAGGTATACAAATATCTGTTCGAGTCTCTGATTTCCATTCTTTTGGATTTATATGCAGGAGAATTGCCAGATCACATAGTGATTCCATATTAATTTCCTGAGGAATACCCTTGCTGTTTTCCAGGGCAGCTGCACCATTTTACATTCCCGCCAATAATGCACAAGGCTTCCAATTTCCCCACACCCTTGCCAGCACTTGTTATTTTCTGGTTTTTTGAGGACGGCCGTCCTAATGGGTGTAAAGTGGCAGCTCATTGTGGTCACATTTGTCTTTAACTGCTCCATTAAGCAGGTTTGGGTGTTTAGTTTCAATGTGGAGAGGAAACCAGTGGGCTGACAGAGGAGAGAGTCCTCCTTTCTACTTCTTCCCTTTTCCTCCTCTCTTCTAGCCCCACTGTGCTTTAAGGCCCCAGACTGCTTCCCTGAAGGCTGGCCTCGCCCACAGGCCTCTCTAGTTTTCCTTGTCCTTTATCCAATGCTACCCCATTTCCTGTTAGAAGGCATGGGCCCTCTCAATCCACCTTGCTAGCCCAAGTCCTCCCCGAAAGAGAAGTGCCTCTTTTGCACTCCTCTGTTCTGTTCACAGGCCTCTCTGGGGCAGACCCTCTCTACATGATGCAAGTTTATGGGGAGAGTTCAGGGCAGCGTCAGGAAGGGGAAGACAGGGCATGAAAACACAAATCCCAGCTCTGCCAGCGGCCCGTGGACCCCAGGCTTGACCCCTCTGTCAAGGTGGGTGAGGGGACAGAGGTGAACAGGCTGCACCTGCAGTCTGCCTCCCTGTCTGGGAATCGCAGCCTCGCCTTCCAGCTAACGCAGGCCTCGTCACAAGATTACCTGCCCTGGTGTATCGCTTTGAGCCCTTCCAGACACTTCTGTTCCCATTTTTTGTCACTGGTAATTACAAAATTAAGATTCATGCGAAGAAAGGTAGGTAGTTTCACTCCCATTTTTTCAGAGAGACAGTCGGGGCTCAGAGAAAAGTGGGTTTGCCCCATACCCCAGGGCCGGTGAATGGATAGGCCGAGACCAGAATCCACATCTCCCGATTTCTACTTCAGCACTCATCCCACTGCACACTACTGCCCAGCTCCTAGACATGCCTGCCTAGTGCCGCTCCCCTCCTCAAAAGCATTCAGTTCCCCCCCCCCCCCCCCCCTCCATCCCTGGTCCTAATGAAACGCCACAGCTTCCTTGGCCTGATATTCAAGACTCTCTAGGATCTCACTCCAGCCACTTTTTCAGCCTTCTTCTCACTGGCTGGCTCTCCTGGTTTTCCCTCCTGCCTCTGCAGGTCCTGTCTGTATGTTTCCTGTGCCTTTCCTCTCACCGTCCACAAGTACAAATCCAGCTTCCAAATGACCTTCAGAATAAAATCATCTTCATCCCCACAGCCCTCTCTTCCTCCCCTGAATTGCCAGAGCACTTCCTCTGTCTCACTTTGGTCCAATGACTTCCTGTTTTATTACAGTGATAACTCCCAGTCCCCATCTAGACATCTCTCCTGTGTCCTACACCTACATATCCCACTCCTACCTCAACCCCTCCACCTAAGCGTCCTATAGACACCTCAAACTCAGTATCTTTTCCCTAAAGCTCATCTTCCTTCTGTGACCTCACTCTGCACCCAGCTGGCAGCAGGAGGCCCTGAGGTCATTCTAGCTTCCTCTGCCGCATCCCCCCACCAACATGAGCTCCCTGAGAATAAGGACCTTGTCTGTCTGGTTCAGTGCTGCATTACCCAGTGCCTAGAACAGTGCCTGGCACACAGCATTCAACTAAAGAAGACATTTCTTAATCAGTTCATGCTTCATAACAAAGCATTCTAAAACTCAGTGACGTAAATCAGCTCTCATTTATTATTACAGCTTGTGTGTGGGTTGGCAGATCTTGGCTGGCCTCGATCATGAAATGGCTGCTTGTCTGGGGCTCTGTCCTATCCTTGGCTGGGTGGCTCTGGTCTACCTGTCTCTCGTCCCCATCACGCTTTCTCATGCAGGGGCAGAGGCACATGGACAAGCAGACCCTACTGCACCACACTTTTCAAGACTCTGCTTAAGTCATGCCCAGGAACATCTTACTGGCCAAAGCAAGTCACATGGCAAAGCCACTAAGTCGGCCATTACCTCCTGTCCTTTCTACCACTTAACTATGTTTGAAATCATCTCTTCCCCTTGACCATCCTTTCTTATTGCTGTTGCTCTGCTCTAAGCTGTCACCACCATTCACCTGGATGCCCTCAGTCATCTGCCAGCTGGTCTCCCCGCTTGCCTTTTCCTTTCCAATTCACTCACCCAGCTAGGAAAGTGCATATAGAAACAACAGTCTTTCTAAAACACAAATCCAATGCTTCTCCCCGCATAAGGCCCACTAGTGTGTCCTTACCATCCACATGGGAAGGCTCGAACCCCTAGGGATGGCTGGCAAAGCCCTTCGTGAGATACCGTGGCCTCAGATCTTGTCCTCTGGATCTCTTCATGACTGCTCTTGCTACCTGGGGTGCCCTTCCCAACTGCTACTGCCGCCACCACCCCTAACCCATGGCTCATGACCCATAATTTTCCTCAGCTGCCCTGTTTGTCCACCTCTGCATCCAGTTCACTTCTGTGACAACAGTTTGCACTATGCTTTGCATTAGTGGCCGCTTGGTGACTGATTAATATAATGGTGAGAGAAAAAAAGGCAGGATTCAAAACTGAGTAATTAATATGATTTTGATTTTGCAAAAGCATACATACACACAAATGTACAAAAAAGGGGCACCTGGGTGGCTTAGTGGGTTAAGCCTCTGCCTTCAGCTCAGGTCATGATCTCAGGGTCCTGGGATCAAGCCCCACATCGGGCTCTCTGCTCAGCGGAGAGCCTGCTTCTTCCCTCTCTCTCTGCCTGCTTCTCTGCTTACTTGTGATCTCTGTCAAATAAATAAAATCTTGGAAAAAAAAACCAAATGTACAAAAAAATTAGCCATAATCATCTCTGGAAGGTGACATCACAAGTGATTTTTGTTTCCTTGTTTAAACTTCTCTGTATAACCTAAAATGTTTTTCTAACAAGTATGTCTAAACTTGTATTTAAAAATTTTATCTTAAAAACATTTCTGTAGCACTATGTATGAGTCATATTTGTGCCTTGTATATAGAAGATGCTCAACAAATTCACCACAAATCTAAGGAAACCTGATGTCCCATACAGTTCATACAGGTCCTTCCCTCCTGAACCATCACCAACCACAAACCATGATTCTCGGGTTTGAATAGCATGAAATGGTTAAGCCCAGGGGCTGCGGATCCAAACTTCCTGGACTCCCCACCTTGCCTTTTTCTTTCCAGTTTCCTGGTACCCTTCCCCTGTGGGATGTAGGGCATGTTACCTGACTTTTCTGTGCCTCAGTTTTCCTACAGGTGAAGTGAGAATAATAAGGGTAACTACTTCTGGGGGTTACTGTAAGGGTGACTGAGGGGACAGACACTACTAAGATGACAGCAAATGATCAGAGAGGGTGGCTCCATTTCTGGCACAGAGCCAGGCTTCCTGGTCAGCTTCTGCTTCCAGTACACCCTCCTCCCTGAGGCAGGGTCATTCTGCCCCTGCTCTCGCTAGTGGTTGGGCAGCCTTCCTTACCGGGCAAGTCAGGTCTTCACATCCATCCAGAGCACAACCCAAGAGCCAAGCAACCCTCCTTAACCAGTAACCGCATGTAGAGACCAGAGGAGAACAAAGACGGAGCTGAGGAGAGGCAAGGCGAGCTTCCAGCTTTTGTGTAGCTCGGGAGGTTTCATGAAGGGCGAGGGGTCTCAGAACTAGCCCTCTGAGGTCCAGGTTTGACAAGAAGTGTAGAACGAAAGGGCCAGTGTTCCTGGCAGAGCTTCCCACACCCTTCTTTTATCCTGAAACCCCAATAGGTTGTTAGCCCCCCCAGAGTGGGAGAGAACAGACCCAGGCTGAGAATGAGGAGGTGCCCATGACCAAAGGTTGGGGGGGGGGGTGCTGCGGTGGCCCGGAGACCACTCTGCCTCCCGCCCAACTCTGGCTCCTCTGAACTTAGATCTGTCCACCCGACCTGCACTCGTACCTCTGGCCCCTCTGGCCCACAGGATCCGGAGAAAGGGACTCCCTGTTCATCTTACGCAGTGGCCTGACAGAACTAGTGGACCCCTCAGGTCAGCCCCACCTTAATGCTGACTTTAAAACCCTGCTCTCCTTGCCTCATGGTCTCATCTTTAGACATGGCTGAGGATGGTTTCCCAGGCAACTGGAGTTCCCAACAACCCAGGGGCTCCAGTCACCCCTGGAGCAGGTGACTTGGAAGAGCTGGACTTCCAAACCCTATGAACAGAGGCAGGATAGAAGGAGCCACTGTTAAAGGGTGAAGGAGGGCAAGCTGCTAAATAGAAGATGGGGGAGAAAGAACAAGGTGAGCCCAAGGATAGGATCCCATTTCTGGAATCTTCCATACTGGAAGAACAGGGGTAAGGAGAGGGGAAGCATACCTAGGCAAGGTCAGGCCACGTCCTAGGGGTTGTGCCAGAAGAACACACCAACTCTGCATGAGACAAATGGGAAAGCTGGAAGTCCTGACTGGGGCCAGGAGATGGGGGCAAAGACAGAGAAGGAGGGACATGAGACAGTGTCATCAGCTGGGACAGCCGCAGACACTAACATGAGAGGCCACATTGGCTTGGCTGGATTTTCAAAACTCCACTCCCTGAACCCATTGTTAACACTCACTGGAGGGCTTAAACTCTTGAGTTGGGACAAGCTCCCCCACCCTTTCCTGGCCCCGGCCATGCCTTCCAGCACCTGAACGGGGACTCTGCCCCAGGCTCTCCCAGTACCTCCTTGCTCCGCACTGGATCAAAGCCCTGTGAAGTCCTGCATCAGGAAGAACCAGCAGCTCACTGGAAGTCAGTCTCTTTCTCCTGGTGACAAACACAACTGTCCATGACACGGAGGACAGTCAGGGAAAGAAAACTCAAGGTGAAGAAAAGAGGAGAGCATGGGTAAGGATGAAAATGAGAGAAAGGAATTTGGAGAGCTGGGGACGGTTTCACAAGCAGGATATTGCGGAACACACTCAAGTAAAGAGCCCTCATGCTTGCTGATAAAAGGGTCTGTGAACATGGAGTGCCAGCAAAGATGACTTGTCAGAGCAGGGCACTGCCCTTCCAAGGGCACGGGTGATAGGTGATTAGGGGCAGGGGTACCGAGTCTTGCTCCCTAAGAGTATCTCACCGAGTCCTGGAACCCACTATTCCTTAGAGAGCAGAGCAAGCGGAGAAGGATGAAGAGAACGCCATAAAAGTCCAAGACAGGCTGCAGGCAAAAGCAAATGAGATGATTGCCCTTGGTTTTACCCCAAACTCCCATCTTGTCCCAGGAAGCTAAGGTGCCACAACAAAATGACTCTGGGAATTTCTGTGCAGAGAATCATCTTGCTAGAAAACTGGGACTCCCCTTCCATGCAGCCAGACTAGGCAGGCCTTCCTCCTTCTTTCACCTCATTTACTTCCTCATTCCTAGGCACCAAAATTGCTTCAGTTTTTGGAGGCTTCAGGGGCTCCCAAGGGCAAGGCAGTGGCAGAGACCCTGAGTCCAGACCCTTGGCAGGCTCTGTGCTGGAGTGCAATCAAAGGAGCGGGGGCAGTTGTCCTAACATCTGGGTGAAAGGCGCAAGGTCTGAAGCCGTCCTGAGCTTCCTCTGTGGTTGTCAGATTGTGGGTGGGGTAGGGGTGGGGGGAACCCATGCACTTGCTCCAGGGCCAGAAGGGAAGCAAGTAGAGCTAAATACCTGGGGTAACTGGGTAACCCCGATGCCACAGAGTTCCACCCTTTCTTGCTATGGGCATTCCCCAGGAAAGTCCCCGAAGTTAGTCCTCCCTCCACCTCTCAAGTAACAGGAATAATCAGGCCCTCTTCCCAGCACCTACCATGTACTACCTCAGATAATACTCAAGCTTATTTTACAGCTAGGGCAACTGAGGAAGAGAGAGGCTAAGTAATTCCAGCTCTAAAAGGCAGAGCTGGGATTCAAAGCCAGCGAGTCTGGCTCCAGAGCCTTCTCAGCACACTGCCCTTGAAGCTGACTACAGCCTCCTCTGCAGGCACCACCAGTTTCTGAGTTTCTGCTTCGGGAAAGCCAGGATGGTGTGTGGAGAGACAACAGGAAGCAAGGAGGACACACGAGCTTCTAGAAAGATCATCAGTGAAGCTCAGGACTGGTGTCAGAGCTGTTGAAGGCTCTCAGCCTATTCTGAGAAGCCAAGTTCTGTTCTAAGCCCAAGTTCCGGCAAGACCCATGGGATGGTCCTCCAGGGTCATAGTTGACCTCAGAGGACCACAGTGGCCACCACCATAGAGGGCCTCAAGGCAGGTGCCATTCAAAGACCTTTCACCAGGACACACATTCCCCAGAGCGTCCTTGACTGCGAGCCTGCCCCAGCATGGCTGGGAATCTCAGATGGCCCAGCTCTGCCATGCAAATGACAGCCAAGAGCAGTGACCAGCATCATACTCTCCATCCAAGCCTGGCGTCTGGAGCAGCAGCAGACCACTCCACACAAAGCAGCAAGCTGGAGAGGATTTTAGAAGGCCTCCGATGCTAACCAAATCCCAGCTGGCAGGCACAGGGGGTCAGGTGGGCCCTGGGAACAGAGTCAGCTTGGCACAGAGAGTCAGCAGGGCTCAGGCAGGGAAGGGCACCGGCGGGCGGGGCCCTCAGGCTGAGCATCCTGTGTGTTGCCCCCCCCCCCCAATAAGGCTCTTCCCAGACCTCACTGGCTCCCTCCCTATTGTTATTCAGATTTCGACTCAACCAGTCACCCCTGAGACCTTCTCCAAGTCTCCAATCCAAAATAGCCTCCCTGTGACTGACATCATCCTGTTTCAGTCCTCACAGCACTTTCGCTTTCTGGTATTTTGCTACTTGTTTGCTGTCTATCTCCCTCAACTAGAATGAACGCTCCAGGAGGACAGGGGCTCTGCCTTGTTCAGTGCTGGGCGCCCAGTGCCTAGACCAGGGCCTGGCAATGAGACCCACTAACACCCGGGGCATGGTGAATGAATGAATGAATGAATGGGAGGGTGAATGGGCCCACACAGGGCAAGTATAAACAACTAGCTTTCCTCAGCCTTTCTCTCTTCTCTTTCTTGGGAATTACGGTCTTTTTAAAATTTCAGTTCTAACATTTTTAAAGATCTTTATTATTTTTCCTGATTATAAAAGTAACATGTGCTCACACCTAAAATTTAAACATCACTAAAAGGATCGACCTGGAGAGCAAAAGCCCCCCATCACCCCACACTGTAGAGAAAGTCACTGTTAATGTGTGTCGTATATTCATCCAGATTACATTCAGTTTCACAAGAAGCAAATCCATGCATCATGGAAAGAAAGGGCTCAGCCATTAAGCAGCTGCCTTTGGCTCAAGTCATGATCCCAGGGTCCTGGGTTCAAGTCCCACATCGGGCTTCCTGCTCAGCCAGAAGCCTGCTTCTCCCTCTCTCACTCCCCTTGCTTTGTTCCCTCTCTCGCTGTGTCTCTCTCTGTCAAATAAATAAATAAAATCTTTAAAAAAAAAAAAAAGAAAGAAAGAAAGAAAGAAAAGGAATTCCTAGTCCACCAAACTAGCAGCCACCATCATGTCTCCCTGGCCATCTTTCTCATGTATTTATTTTACAAGTTACCTTAATCCTTAATGTACTTCTCCTGTAACCTGACATTTTCACTTAGCATATCATAATCATTTTTCCAAGTTGTTATATTGCCTGTGTCCTCATTATTACAATGGCAGGATGCTATTCCACCAGGTGGAAAACTTTAACTTCCTTAACCTACATGTTCAACAAAGAGAGAACAATTGTTTCCCATTTCCACTATTACCACAACACCATAAGAAACATCTTTTTTATGCTTCTAAAAAAGAATTCAGCCCTTTTCTTCTCTGGGGTTATTTCCTAAGGAAAGATTTCTTAATAATTCTGGAGTGGGATCACCGACAGAGGGTACAACAGTCCCAAGGCCGCTGGTGGAGATTGCCCTGGGTGGGGAATCCTGCGTGATGTGGGGAGTAGGTCTCTGATCTGAGTCACCGGGTTGCCGCCGTGGCCTCCACGGTCATCTCTGCACCCCCACCTCACCTCTGCAGTTTAGGTGCACACCTCCCTGGCTACAGATCGCCCCAGCGACCCATTTCCTGAAAAGTCCTCCAAGCACAAACTGGTTTTGCAAGCCCAGGCTGAGGAAAACATAGATGCCAGCCCTGAGTTTTCAACTGTCGACTGGCAAGTCTGGCTAAAGCTGAGAATTACCTAGTTGCCCTTCTCCTTCCCCGCAAGCTCCTGTGTGGAATCTAAGGCTCCAGGTCCCCGGGGGCCAGTCCAGCAGCTCCCAAACAGCTTGTCCCGTCGGGGGTGCTCTCCCTGCCGTGTCTTCCAGGCGAGCTCTCTGCTAGCTGACCCAGAGGGGGACTGTCTGCCCTACGCAGACAACGGCCTTCAGGCTAGACAGACCTCTGGGGCTTGGGAAAGCAGCCAATCATCATTTTTTAAAGCACCATCAAGGAAAAGCCAGAGACCAAGTCTGGAAAGAAAGGCCATATGAGGACAGGTGAAGCTCCACGGTCAGGGGGTCCCACGCTCTATATGCAGCATGTCTGGCCTTAGGAGGAGACCCTCCACAGGCCAAAAGCAGCAGAAGGCTTGCTCCTCTTGACCCCCTGGTGGCCACCTCTGTAGCAGCTCAGGCACCAGAAATCCCACTCCTCCCAGCGCCCTGGATGCTCTCCCCAAGGCCACATGAACCGCTCATGGGCTCTGGACAAAGTCTGCAATCCCAGATGAAGTACAGTTCTCATGGCACAGAGGTGAAGCCCAAGGCCCAAAGCATCCAGGAGCCTACAGATAAGAAAGGGAATGTGGGAGGATGTCATCTCCCATGTGCTGGGTATCTGACCCCACTCACTCAGCCCATCTGGGTGGGGCACATATTTTAGAGGCCACATGGCTCTAAGACGGCTCCAGCCCATGGCATGACCTGAAGGGGCCTGGCCCTCCCCGCCTATCCTGGAACTACGGCCCCATGATGGGCCCTCGGACACAACACAGGCTCCGAACTGGAACCTCCAGACCGGCGTTGGTGCCCTTGAGGCAGGGAGGGCCCGGGATCCCTGGGGAGCCCGTCACATTACTCACTTATCAGACCTCTGAGTGCACGGCTCAGAACAGACATCAGGGTCACTGTCCAGGAGTGTCCCGGGTTAACCTTTGTCCTGGTGCCTGGCTGGGCCTCGGTGCCATTCTCAGCAGTGCCGGCAAGCATCAGCCCCAGGGCTCAGCTGATCCTTGGCTGGTAGGCAGGAGGCTTCCATGTGTCCCTGGGAATAAAAGAGGAGGCGTTCATTACCTTCCACTGCCCCTTGGGCCAGGAGGAAAGGCAGCCTCAAGGCAAACACTACAATTTCCCAGGCTCCCGGCTCAGCACCAGACAGTCATCCCACCAGGGCCACTGGGCCCCTCTCTTAGAAATTACTCCCTCCTCTGTACTGTCCTGTTTGCTCAGGTCTGGTTAGTCCAGCAATGACAGCTTGGGGTGAGTCCCAGGCCATTTACATGTGGGACTGGGACTTAGGGCTTCTTACTCCGCAAGTAAATGTGTGCATATTTGTAAATCTGAGAGGGGGTATAATTTTAGACTCCAGTGCCTTTCTCATTTAGCTTCAAATTACACTCTCACCTTCGCCCTGCAGTGGCCACATCTGCTCTCAAGGGCGGTCAGGAACCTCCCAGAAGGCCGATAACGGAGGACATTTGTCATAGCATTTGGGGAGTCGAGCACAGCTACACAGAAAAACAAGCACACCAACAAAAGGTGTGCCAGACCCCTCTCCCCACAATCCCACCACCCCAATATTTATTTCACTCTATTTTATCACTATTCTTATTAAAGCCCTTCCTGTTAACATCAATAACCGAGTACAAACTGATAGAAATCTGACTTTCTGATGCCCCTGGCCACAGACACATTTTTAATATATCCCTGAGATTCGACCATTTGATCAAGATTCTGACTTTGATGTGAAGGTCCTGCAGCTTCTCAGAACAGCCCCTTGGATGCAGCACCATGTGCACGAGCCCAAGGATGGACGGAGCTCAGGTCCCTGCCGCAGGCCCCGGCCAGAAACTGGCACCCTCCCTCGCCCCACCCCATGGACAGCCAAGCAGAGTTATCTGAGGGGGCACCACCCGAGCTGATGCATACAGCTAGCTTCCTCCCTCCCCCTCCCTCCCTGCACCTCCCCGGTGAGCTGGGGTCACTGGGCCTCTGCTCCGCAGAAGCAGCAGGGGAGCGGAGGAGAAGTGAAGGGGTGGGGATAGGGATCGGAAATTCACTGTATGCACTTGTGCTTGTGACCCTGGAGGGTGGACCCCCCCCCCCGAGCACCACCACCCCCCCACCGCCCCCCCGCACTGAGACCAGAGAAGGATGAGAGCGAAGTGCAGCAGGGCAGCTGAGCCCAGTCCTCCCCAGGTCCTCCCTGGCTCCTCCCCAAACAGGAGCCTCAACCTGCCCCACCTGTCCATCCTCCCCGCTTCTCCCAGTCTGCCTGGCACATACCCATTACCTCAAGGAAGGGGCTTTAATGGGGCATGTCCAACACCCCCTCTACCCCCAGCACCACCAGGACCTGTGCCTGGGGAGTTCAATCCCACCCATCGGCACTTCCCTTTCCCCAGGGCCTGAAGCGGGCCACATGAGCAAGCACCAGACAAAAGAGAAAGAGAAACCAAAGCCTACATCCTGGCAGCAGGGCCTGCTGGTCGCTGCAGTCAGCTCTGGGAACCCGCGGCTGGCTGGTGAGGCCGCTGAGGTCAGAACAGGCTCCCTTCCTTGGCTGGCCTGGCCCTGGACACCTCCTGCTTCCTGGTCTGCAGGCTCTTCCGCCAGGGAGTCCCACCTCTGTTGCTAAGTGCACAAGCTGTCCCTGGGCCCCTCTGGCGCTCCCTGGCCCCTGAGAGCAGGTCCCTGGTGCAGATGGTGTGAGGCTCCTTTGTGGACTGCAGTGCCTGAACTCGAAGTTTCTGGAGCACAGGAATGTGTGAAGAGCCCTTATAGCAATTAACGTGGGCAGAACTTACACTTTTTCATGCATGTCATCCCTCACAATTCTCCCAAGGCTCCTGCAGGGAGGGTAGGAATCATCATCCCACCCCCCACCCCCCACTTTAGAGATGAAAACGCTGACTCTCAGGACATTAAGAGATTAGGCCAAATCTACACCTCTGACTCAAACCCTGGTCCTCGGGCTCCAGAGTCCCCCCTCTCCCCACACAGTGTGTCTTCAAGCTGCTTCCCATGTGTCTGCCTGTGTACACCTTTCATTCCCCAGCATCTACTTAGTCCGTTCTGTAAGCTGCTTATTTGTAAACATACAGCCTGAGTCCGTCCATCCAGCTTCATCAACGCACCCGGGGGCTCCTCTGAGACCCTGCTCCCTCCTCGTTCCTTTGTGATGCCGTCCTCCTAAGCCCCCAGCTAGTCCATCACCGATGTTCCCGCAGGACTTTGAACATCCTTGCCCTGAAACATCCTCTCCCATCTCAAAGTTACTATTGTCTGTTTGCCCCTCCACACAGTAAATTCAAGATCAGGGAATTTCTTTTGGACGGATGGACAAATCAGCTTGAGAAGGGCCCAGCTAAATTCCTGGGTGATGGCACTATCCAGTGTTATTAACTAAACGAGGATATCTCACATTCTTCCCTAATTTTTAGGCAACCGTCATGAAAGGGCTGTCTCCCAGGAAGGACCATAAATGCTGGCTTCCAGGAACAGGGCGATCTCTGCAAATGAGGGAAGAAAGGGGGACACTTGCTCTCTTTCTCCCACCTCCAAGAGCCATCACCTGGACAGCGAGGTGAAGCTAGATGAGTGGGTGCCTTGGGTCTGCACACTACAGAAGACGTGTCGCCCGAGGAAGCGTCCCAGGTGTCCCCGGAGAAAGTGCAGGCTCCTACGGCTCCTACAGCTCCTACGTGGGCAAGCTGCCAGGCTCGGCCTCAGGTCAGAGAAAAACAATGCCTATTCTGTTATTTCTACAAGTGCTGGTACTCTCAAAAGGCACATTCAGTTTTCATGCACATAGCATTCATTTCCCAAAAAGGTTTAACCAGCAGCTGCTGGCAGGAAATTCCCTCTGCATCGTTCTCTCCCCTCCCCTATAACTATTTAGGGTAAGCTGGGCTTTTGCGATTGAAGCTCTACTTCTCTGACCAGAACCCATAAATCAAACCTACCCCCAATCCGTGCAATCTCCACGGCTCGGAACCCAAGACTGGGGCCAGGAAGTGGCCCGCAAACACCACCCCTTCTTCCCTCTCTCTCCCCTCTTCCCCAAATTTCCCCTACCCCAGGTCCCATGAAATGAAGAAAAAATGCCCCCAGGACCCACTGGGGAGCTCTCCAATTATTCAAAGTGCCCTGGTTCTTTCCACGAGACCCTGAACCACTGCTCTTTCTTGTCCTGTAGTAAGACCAGCCCTGAAACAACTGGATTTGGCAACTTCCCAAGTTGAGAGACCATGCTAAGGCACGAGTGCAAAGGGAATTCCAAATCCCCCCAGGGGAAAGGCGGGCATCTGCTCAGCTCCCCTTGGGAAGCAAGGACACCCGGGCCCTTGGCCCTGATTGGCAGAGGGAAGGTCAGGGTGGAGACAGGAGAACAGACTGCCCACACACTCCATTTGACCCTGTCCATCCACGCTCCCTCATTTATCTGTTTTCTTGAAATCTGGGTTTCTCTGCCAGCCGGACAATTCACCCCTCTGTCTTCTGTCTCACCTGTGTAGCCTGTCAGCCTCCTCTCCTCCCTTCCTCCTCCCATCCAGCCCCTCCAATCTTATGCACCTTTCTCAATGTCCCCTTCTGAACAAACCCAGACCATCCATCTCCTACACCTTGGAGGGTGGTCTCTGGCCCCATGACCCTTCCTTTCCCTCCCATCCTACCCCCCAGCACTGGGTAGCTGCTGCTTGCTGCCTGGAAGGCTGGACAGCTGCTGGGCTCTCTAATGAGCTTCCTGGCTGCCGTCCCAGAGCAAGGCCCATGTTACAGTAAAGAGCTGCCCCCCTCCCCTGAATAATCCCCTAGGCAGATCCCATCAGGCAGCAGCTGAGGGGCCCTGAAATCCCGGTCACATGAGACCAGGAAGGCTCCTCCCGGCAGCTGGGAAGGCACCCACAGCGGCCTCACAGCCTCACCGACTCAGTGACCAGGAATTTATTTATCCGGGCTCTCCCTCTTACCGCCCACGTGCTTCGGGTGTTGAACAGGTGACCTTTGGAGCAATGCAGACACTGCCCCTTTGTTGCCTTACCAGCAGGGGCAGAAAAAGCCCCAGCGGTTCTTTTGGAGGATAAACCTGGGCTCCCTGAATAGCACGACATCCAGTGCCCTGCTTTTCCCAAATCTCTACAGTCAAGCCACCCCAGAGATTTCTAAACAACAGAGCCCTCGTCCAGGATATCCTGCAGAGGCTAATTTGTTTATTCAAGGTGTTGTGTTTCAGTGGTAAGAGAACGTTGATGGAACACCTGCTGAAGGCCAGGCACCGACCTGAGTGCGAACAAGGCAGCCTTCCTGCCCCCGGGAGCCCACTGCCCTCGGGTGGACAGACAATAAAGCATACTGAAATGTCTGACAGCAGGCCACAAAAAAGGGAAAAGGCCCGGTGGGGACAGAGATACTGAACGCTAGAGAGCAAGTCTTACACTTCTCTAAGGAGGTAGCATTTCGGCATAGATCAGAAAGATGCCTTTCAAAGAGCTTTGGGAAAAGCATTCCAGGCAGAGGGAACAGTACATAAAAGACCCCAAAAAATAAGTTTGAGGGGTGCCTGGGTGGCTCCGTCGGTTAGGTGTCTGACTCTTGATCTCAGCTCAGGCGTTGACTCAGGCTCGAGAGTTCAAGCCCCACACTGGGCTCCGTGTTGGGTACAGAGCATACTTTATAAAAGAACCAAAAAAAACAAGTTTGAGAAATAACAAGGCCAGAGCAGCTAAAGTTAATGTAATTAAGGGGTCAAACGTTCCCTGCCCCTGATTGCAAAAGTCATCTGGTTGTCCCTAAGGTGCCCTCTGGGCCAGGGCAAAGTCCAGCTGCCAAGGAAACACGCCCCGACAACTGGAGGCTCCCCCTGTGGGCAGAGCTGGAAACTGCAGGTCCGGTCAGTTGTTAGGCACTGCACTTAGGA